AGTTTGTTCATAATTAAGATAATACATTAAAATAATATGATAAGACACACCAACTTTCAATATCAAGCAGCAAAACAAACTATTTTGTTCAGCTAAAAATAGCTGGACGGAGTGGACGCAGATGAGACCGGAAGCCAGACCAATAGAATTTACAAATGGCTGCGCCCATTTTTACAACAAGAAAAAGGTGGATAGCCTTTTATGAAACAGATGTGAATGAAATTAAACTATATTCCAGTTTTAAATGGGCTTCTGATTACAGATAGCCTGGGATTACAAAGATTTGTATTTGAAAGAAAACCAGTTCGAAGGGAGCATAATTAGCTTTTTGGGTTAAAAGAATTTCTTAATATGAAATTTGAAGAGTATGACAATTAGATTAGACTGTGCAGAAATTGAAATCTACACGCTAATACACACTATACTCATAGTCACCAATGCTGATGCTGTTAACATTAATCATTTGAGAATAAAGTATAACAATAATAATAATTTGAACGGTTTGATTTGATATGAGCTAACCGATCTTTAGATTTAATCACCATTGGTAGCGAGATTTATGGTAAGGCTTTTTTCCTCAGTTGGTCAGAACAAACGTGGCAGACTTGCTACTTGTTCAGATGACAATATACGGTGAAAATTCTTATTTGGGTCATATTCCAAAACGTAGGCTAGAATCTGTGATTGCGAAGTACAGTAAATATCCACACCGGTGCGGTGACTGACTGCCACACATACTCTTCAGAACATTAGATTCATCCGCGCTAGAGCCGTGCCTACTCATAACCCACGCAAGCTAGATAATTTCGCACACAGCTGCAATTCCAGGTTGGCGACAAAGAGGCAAAACTTACAGACTGCAGCTTTAAATTAGAAACCGTATCATATAGCATTCATACCGAACCTCAGTCCTACATTGAGCTCTTGTTATTGTGGTTTGTTTCAGGGCCTGACCTCGTATCTTCCTTCTCCATCTCTACTCTCTCCTCACTCCAAACTACAGATGTCCACGTCACTCAGTGCTCAACTCATTCCACAGGCCACCCTCACCTCACACAGCAGTATGTTCTCTACATTATCCTTCATATTATATAGGATAACTCGAGCATGCATTGTTTTGAAGAGCACATCTCAGACTATAAAGTAGAGAAGAATGGAAAAATTTGAGTATTTTTATGTATTTAAGTATGTTTATGTATTTATGAAAAGTGTAGTTTGTTTCTGTGGCACTTAAAACCACATGAAATTACATGTCATGAGGTCTTTAAATCTGCCTTTTCTCTCACAGGTGGTTACAGTCCTGCTGGGCAGCCCATTAGAAGAGCTCCATCCCTCAAACACCAGAAAGTAAGACACTGGCTACGTTTACATGCACAATTTTAGGTTCAATCGGACTGAATTCATTCCGATTGATGAATCTGAATGTAGTGTTTACATGAACGCTAAATAAAGTGATCGGGTTGATGTGCACGTTTGTATGTCACAAGCTTCAAATCGGAATTAATTTTTTTGACATGCGCACACTGCACAAATATAGTTTCTCACTGTTTGCACATAATAACCACTCTCCTACACGGCTTTTTTATTTGTTTTTAACAGCAGAATGAATATTTATTAATTTATGGATAAATATACATTTAAACCACTGTGCCGTGCTGCTCATATTTATCACGCAGTAAAGATGCCCCTCCCCGCGCCCAAAACGGGTTGCCTGTGGATGAGAATCCAAAACAAGAACTGGTGGGAGGTTGTCCTGCTCCACTTCACAGTTGCCGAGTGAAAGAAGAGTTTTATAATGATAGTTTTATAATAACACTTTATTCAAAAGGAAGAACCACTCGTTCCGCGCATCATACGTCATTACGCTATTTCTGCGTCAGTGCACATGTGCAGTTCTTTCAGTTTCGGGGTTCAATCTGATCAAGTGTTTACATGCACTCTCAATCGTATTAGAAAAGGAATAAACCACCCCCTTCAGTCCGATCGAAATTTCATTCCGATCGAGCTCAATCGGATCGATTAAGATGTTTACATGAAGGTTTTTCAGTCCGATTGAGCCGTCAATCTGATTAAAAATTGATTATTTGGTTGCATGTAAACGTAGCCAGTGACTACGTTTATATGCGCACGAATAATGAGATAATTTCCAATAATCAGAGTAAGGAATTAATCGCATTATGATGTTTACATGTCAAGAGCAAAGCTCTTCACTCCCGTTTACATGCAATTTCCATTATTCGTATTATTCGCTAAGAATTGTGGTTGTTTTTTTACCGCCATTATTCATTATAAACGCAAATTTGTTCTTGTGTGTCCGGCCTCAGACATTTTTGTCATCTATGTTAATACGATTATGCTTGCTGCGATTATGAGCTTAATCGCATTATTTAGATAGAAGTATTGCGTTTACATAAGGTCAAGTTTAATCGCAATATTGCCAAAATCTCATTATAATCACATAAAGAGGGTGCATGTAAACACTCACTGTGATCTGGTTCTGTATTATACTACCATTCAAAGTTTTAAACAAATTAATACTTTTATTCAGCAAGGACGCATGAAATTGATAATAAGTCACAGTAAAGACTGTTTCAAATAAATGCTGTTCTTTTGAACTTTCTATTCCTCAAAGAATCCTGAAAAACCTGTAACACTGTTTGCACAAAATATTAAGCTTTACGACAGGTTTCAACATTGATAATAATAAGAAATGTTTCTTAAGCAGCAAATCAGCATATTAGAATGATTTCTGAAGGATCATGTGACACTGAAGCCTGGAGTAATGATGCTGAAAATTCAGCTTTGCATCACAGGAATAAATTAAATGTTAATATATATGAAAATAGATTGTGTTCATGTCCACAGAGTTTACTGGATTATGAATTCCCTCAACTAGCAGAGACTGACTTTGGGCAAATCCATCAAACGGTAAGTTTTAATATGTTTTATATTATAATAGATTACTATAAATGTGGAATTACTTGGAGTTAATTTATGATCTCTTATATGAAATGTTCTCTAGGTTGTGTCTTTGTACGAGTACAGAGCCGATCGATCAGATGAGCTGTCGATACGCCGCGGTGACGTGATCCATGTGCTGTACAAAGACAATGAGAGCTGGTGGTTTGGGCGACTGGTCAGTGGGCAGGAGGGATATTTCCCAGCATCCTATGTGGCCGATGAAGGTTTGTGAATGAAGTTTGATAACCAAAATCACATGTATGATATTAAACGGTCTAAATCCATGTGTATCTCCCATAGGGAGTTTTGATGAAGAGCTCTCAAGAGCTTTAGAAGCACAGCCGTCACCGTTAGATCAACCTGAAGGATTTGAGCGTACAACACCAGTCCAGGTAATGACAAATGCTCATTTATTCCTCCCATAAAGTTAGTGAAACTTTATACTAGTTTGACCCTTATGATCTGTGTTCCTCCTGCAGCTGTCTGCAGCCATCAGTGCCTCTGGAGAGCTGAAGATCATCTCCGAGCTGGACACTGACCCTGAGGCGTCCTCCACCACGTATGCATTAACCACATCTGCCATCTGAGTACTTGTTTTCTTAAGCACATATTGATATGTTCTTTTACAGAACAAAAAAGAAGAAGAAAAAGGTGAAGCGGAGTGAAGTTCCCTCTGCTCTGCCTCAGGTCCCGTCCTCAGATCATGAGATGTCTTCAGCATCTTCCAGAAGAAGGAGACCCCTCCCCAGACTAGGCCAAGCCAACGGTGCGTTTGACGGTGAAGGACCAAACTGATGTGACTGAATCTGATTGCTAAGACTTCCCTCTGTTATGAAGGAACTAAAGACATAGAAACAATGTGTTTCCAAAAGTGTTTTATGTGGATGTATTTTTTGTAGTTGGCCTTATTTTAAAATATTTATTTTGTAATTTTGATACTGATATTTGTATTATGTAGTTTTACAGGATTTTTTTTACTGTATTTCTGTACAGTATTTTGTGTACTATGTGTTATTTAAATTGTTTAAACATTTTTAATTAAATTAAAATTTTCAATATAACAGCAAAAACCCCAGCAGTAATCATAATGACATATATAATAAAAATTGGTGCTGTATCGCATCCAAAATAAGTTTGTTTACATAATGTGTGCACTCTATATATATATATATACACACACACACACGCGTGTGTACATATATATATATATACAGTGGGTACGGAAAGTATTCAGACCCCCTTAAATTTTTCACTCTTTGTTATATTGCAGCCATTTGCTAAATGTGTGTATTTATATATACATAATAAATATACAGTTTACACACATATAATGTAAACACAAACTTTTATTTTTATTTTATTTATTAATCGATTTGACTGCACTAATAAAAATATATATTTTGTTCACATAACACAGAAGGGAATAAACTATGGTATTTATTTAGCACCAGAGTTAATGTATGCAGTTGATTAAATCTATTTATACATTTGACAAATTAATGCAAGATTTTAAAATGTTACAATTTTAAACTCACCAATTGCAAAGTAAAGGATTTTAAGTAAAAGATTAAACAACTTTTGTAGTGTTGAAAGGGTCAATATTTATGCAACAACTCGAGAACCGAAGGATCTCATTGCTATGAAAAGACAATGCACATTGTAAAAATGTATTTTGTAAAACTGTACATTTGTAGAAGTTGTTTCCATAAGGAATATGGCAATAATTTGTAAATCTGTAAAAGCAGTCATAATGGGGTCAGTCACAAACTAGGGCTAGACGGGTAATCTGTATTAAGCAATATTAAAGTACAAATCCCACATTCTTGCACTAGTCCAGGGGTAGGCAAGTTCAGTCCTAGAGAGCCGCAGTCCTGCAGAGTTCAGCTCCAACCCTAATCAAACACGCCTGAACAAGCTAATCAATGTCTTCAGGATTACTAAGGCTAAAGGCAGGTGAGGTTTTTTTCAGGGTTGGAGCTGAACTCTGCAGGACTGCGGCTCTCTAGGACCGAACTTGCCTACCCCTGCACTAGTCTAAGAGATTTCTGAACAAGACCTCAGAAATAATCCAGTGTACTGTACTGTAAGACACACTGTATATGAGGTAATGAATTATTTTATACACGAGCTCTTAATTTCAATTTACTTCAAAAATGTACACCTATTTTTCAGAATGGCTTATATCTCATGTTAAGTTACTAAACACAATAAATAAGCCAAAATATATTTCACTTCAGTTTGTAAAATGTCCTTGTTGTGACTGTCAAGATGAATATTTAACTGCCAAAGCAGCATTTGAGATGCAAGATGGTTAAGAAAATAACAAACCCTAGCTGGGCAGCATCTTCTAGTGAGGGAATATGTACATCGCCACCCTACAATATTCCCAGAAACGGGGTAAAAGATAAAGTATTTCATCAATAGGCACATCTCAGCTGTTTAGTGTGAATGTCATCTCTTTATTATTATTATACATTCAACTTTAACACACGCTCTTAATTCAATCTTCTTACAGGACTTTTGACATTTACTTTGTAAATGTTCACTGAACTCCTGTGTACAGGTTCAACTGATCTTGAAATAATAAATATATGACATCTTTGTTGTTAAACTGACCTTCTCCTCGTTCTTCATTTGTCATCTGTCAATCATATCCCACATCACCTGTATTTAGCAGCAATATGATTACATTTGTTCTTCCATTTAAAAGCGTGCAGCAGCTTATTTCAGCTGACATCAACTCTGAGATTATCTGTCTTGGGGAGAAGAGGGGATTTTTCTCCTTGCGATAATGACATGTCAGTCCTGTTGGCCTTTTGTGACCTGAAAAAAAAAAGATCATGCATGATCAACAGTTTCCTATAACTGTTTTCTAATTATACCACTTTTACCAACTTAAGAAATACGGAATGATTTTTAAATATTAATATATATTATTAAATTATTTAAAGAATATTTACCATATTGCTGAATAAAGTAATTAAAATATTAAAAAAAATGTACTTACTTCTTTTGTATGTCCTCTAATGTGAAATATATTACTTGTAGTAAGGCCTAGAGAATGTAAAGGTAAACATAAGCCAATAAATAAATATTTATCATTAAAGTGCATACATTACTAACCAATTGAGAAAGTTAAGAAAATGCAGATCTATTATAGAAATGGTCTGTTATGCATAGTTTGTTCTTACAGCGAGAAAGGCGAGTGCACCTTGAACTCCTGCGCTCCATTCAAAGTTGAGTACTTGTGTGATGTATCCTCCAATAGTCGGCCCAAAGAACATCCTTCAGCATGAAACACATGATTCAGGTTTCATGAGGGGGAATTCGAAACAATATTCTTGAATATTGCGCGTAAACTTTATTTTAAATACACACCCAGCAGACCAGACTGCTGAGAACAAGCCTGACACCAATCCCAGGGTACTCAAGCCCTCCTCAAAGCCATTTTCACTGCAATACGAGGAACACATGAGCCAAAACATGTTTTTGGTATGCATGTATTTTGTAGAGGTTTGTACTGTTGTATTTTGCTCAGTTTTAGGGTTAACTGCATTTATTCAAACCATTTCAGGAATTTCGTGTGACATAACTGAGTGAATTAAAGTCACAGACACAGTAACCTCTTAAAGAGGTCATATGATGCTGCTAAAAACAACATTATTTTGTGTATTTGGTGTTTGTGTATATGCGGTTTAAGGTTCAAAAAACACATTATTTTCCACATACTGTACATTATTGTTTCTCCTCTATGCCCTGCTTTACTGAAACGCGTCGACTTTTACAAAGCTCATCGTCCGAAAAGCGAGGTGTGCTGTGATTGGTCAGCTATCCAGTGTGTTGTGATTGGCCGAATACCTCAAGTGTGTGACGGAAATGTTACGCCCCTTACCATACTGTGATGCCGTGTCTCGGCGCGACGAGACAAAACCAATAAAACCCATTACAAACGAGGCATTTGTAGCATCCAGTGGGGACATAATTACTGATTATAATGACTTATACTGCCGGCACTGAGATTAAGCTGGTCGCAAAAAAAATATGCACAAAGATGTTTTATATTATTATAATGTATGAGAACCTTTAGATTAACATTTACAACAGCATTTTGGAATGACATATATTATATTTTTTATATATTATATATATTTATACATATTGTATATTCATTTTTCAGTGTATCATATATTCAGTTTCAGTGTTCTAAATCTTCATAACCTTTTCTATGGCAAATATGGACAGTGTTGCATCCAGGAAACCAAGTCCTGAACTCAACGAGAACACCACGAAGCAGATGAGAAGGATCTTCATTCTGGTACACAATCTGAGGAAGGAATTCTGGGAAGGAGGAACAGCATCTATATTGGAATGAAATAAACAGACACGTCTATCTTCATGGCTGGAAGGCAAACAATAACAAAAGCAGACACAAGGCAATCACATCCTTGTGACAACTTAACCAGGAGTATGCTACATGGAATAGTCTTAAATTGAATTATTAAAAACATGTCATATTTAACCAGCATGAAGTCTGCACAAACCAAAGCTTGGTAAAATCCACAAATTGAGAGGCACTGTCGCAAACAGAAGACATCCTGTGAAAACGAATGGGATTTCATATCCAAATGACTGATAGAGCCAGCCACCCAACGGAGGACCCAATATCAGGCCAAGACCTGTAAAAATCTCCATGAAGCCCTGAGAGAACAAGATAGCACTGATTACAGCTTTACTGTAGAGACACATTTAACATTTTTGCACACTTGTGTAAATATTAAAACCATAAGAATGGTTCCATCATTGTGTATGCCTTGACCGTGAGAAACCAAACTAGCAGTCAGACTGAATAACTGAATCTATAGAGAAACAGCACATCTTTTGTGACGTGCAATAGTGCTTCCTTTGTCACTTTACTCCAAAACACCATTACTGCACTGAAAAACAAGCACTGACCACAACGCACCAAAACAGTCGCTATGTTCTCGGGGAAAACTTTTGCTGAAACTGCAAAAGATGATGTAACGGCGGCAGAAAAGCCGATTGCATTTATGCACCGTGTGATAAAACAGAGCACGACGAAAACTGTCCCATCAGACACTTGGTCAAGAAATCTGCAGAGGAAATGATATAATTAATGATGAAATACTAAAAATGAGTGTTCATCTATTTTTCCAGACTAGAAAGGTAATTTTATCAACATTTAGGCATAATCTAGCATGTAAATGACCTGAAAGTTAATAGTCATGGACTAAAAGATGCAAAATACTCATATAAATGTTTAACACACAACAAAACAGATTTACTGACCCGAAGAGTACAGTACATCCGCTCGATACGAACAACCCTGCAACGATCATAAACTTGGCTCCTATCTGGACAATCTGAAACAGAGGTCAAGTGCACTGATATAGTGTGCAATCCATAATGGAAAGCTGTTGTTTATCTTCTGAAATAATGATTAACTTACATATTTACCAAGTAACAATGAGCCCACTAAAGTACATAATGCATAGATTCCGAATATTAAACCAATCATAGCTTGACTGACACCTTTCTTCTTTGCCTAGAAAATGAATCAGATCAAAAGTAATACATTATTTTATCCTACTGTAAGAAACTTTAAATGCCTTAAACAGAGAACTTAGAACAAACTATGTTACATTTCATATTGTTGACTATCCCTGTTGAAAAAACCAGCATACGCTGGTTAGGTATGTTTTGACACTGAGATGCTGGTTTGTGCTGGTCCTTTGCTGGTTTGTGCTGGTTTGTGCTGGTCCTTTGCTGGTCCTTTGCTGGTCCTTTGCTGGTCCTGTGCTGGTCCTGTGCTGGTCCTTTGCTGGTCCTTTGCTGGTCCTTTGCTGGTCCTTTGCTGGTCCTTTGCTGATCCTTTGCTGATCCTGTGCTGGTCCTTTGCTGGTCCTATGCTGGTTTGCGCTGGTCCTTTGCTGGTTTGTGCTGGTCCTGTGCTGGTCCTTTGCTGGTCCTGTGCTGGTCCTTTGCTGATCCTTTGCTGATCCTGTGCTGGTCCTTTGCTGGTCCTTTGCTGGTTTGCGCTGGTCCTATGCTGGTTTGCGCTGGTCCTTTGCTGGTTTGAGCTGGTCCTGTGCTGGTCCTGTGCTGGTCCTTTGCTGGTCCTGTGCTGGTCCTGTGCTGGTCCTTTGCT